CTGATAAAATTTAAGGCCTGAAATAACTATCATGGTACCCCATGCACTGTCTTAAGTATATAGAAAGAAGCTAGCATATGGTACTGGTATATGCTAGAAGAAATAAATTTAACAAATAAACCTTGATAAAAACAGTATTTAACACTCCATATTAACTTTTATTGTTATACCATGGCCCAAAAAGTGTAGAGAATTGTCAGTAGAGCAGAGAGTTTGCATAAAAGCTTTATGTGATGCTGGTTGGACTCTCAAAATTGACAAATTGCTGCAGACTTGAAATTCTCCTTAAACACTGTCAAGTACACCATAGATCGTGAGACCGAAACAGGTAAATCTGAAAATAGGAAATGAAGAGGCAGAACACCTGAACTCAATGATACTGATGTTAACTATCTTCATTTATGCAGCCTTCAGGACAGAAGGAAGACTGTCACTGATCTGATGCATGAGATAAACAACCATGTACCAAATGACAGAAAGTGTCCAGATCTACTGTATCAAGAAGACTCAATGAGAATGGAATATTTGGTCACGTAGCAGTTAAAAAACATTTACTTTGATCTCCAAGTATTGTCAAGAGATTGAAATTTACTAAAAATTACAAAAACTGGACTGTTGATGATTGAAAAAGGGTATTATGGACAGATGAGTCCAAGTTTGAAATATTTGGCTCAAATCATAGGTTGTACGTCTGGCAGAAGAAAGGTGAAAGATACTTACCTTAATGCATAGCACCTACCATGAAGCATGGGGAAGGCAGTGTGATGGTTTAGGAGTGTTTTTCTGCTAAGGAAACAGGAGATATTTGCAAAATAGATGGAATAATGGACCAGGTACCATCAGATACTGATCTATCATAGTATACCCAGTGGTTTGAATATTATTGGTAAAGAATTCTACTACCAAGAAGATAATGACCCCAAACATTCATCTAACCTATGCAAAAAAATACTTCGATAAGAAAAAAGCTGCTGGGATTTGATAGATCAAAAACTTGACAAATCCAAAGTTACTTCCAAAGAAACTTTATGGGAGTGTATTAGAGACATTTGGAGTAAAATCCCAAAGGACACTTTAATTAAATATGTTATTAAAGGAAAAGGGGGACACACAAAATATTAACCGTTTGCTGAACTCAAGCACTTCCACCGAGTTTCTGTTGTACTAAATATGAAATTAATAAAATTTTGATGTTTCACCTGTGATTTACCTTCCATTGTTCTTTGAAAGTA